AAACCTTTCCCCTTTTCCCCTGAAATTTCATCCCCTCTCCCTTCTAGTCACTGTCCCCCTGTTCTCAATTTCAGTGTCATTGTTTTTATTTTGCTTGCTTATTTGTTTTGTTGTTTAGCTTCCTGTTAAAGGTGAGATCATGTGGTATTTGTCTTTCACTGCCTGGCTTATTTTGCTTAGCATAATGCTTTCCAGTTTCATCCATGCTGTTGCAAAGGGCAGGAGCTCCTTCTTTCTTTCTGCTACATAGAATTCCACTGTGTAAATGTACCATAGTTTTTGGATCCATTCATTTACTGATGGGCACCTAGGTTGCTTCCAGCTCTTGGCTATTGTAAATTGTGCTGCTATGAACATTGGGGTGCATAGGTTCTTTTGGATTGGTGTTTCAGGGTTCTTAGGGTATAGTCCTAGCAGTGGAATTGCTGGATCAAAAGGCAGGTCGATTTTTATTTTTCTGAGAAAATTCCATACTGTTTTCCATAATGGTTGTACCAGTCTGCAATCCCACCAATAGTGAACTAGGGTTCCCTTTTTTCCACAACCTCTCCAACACTTATTGTTTGTTGCTTTGTTTATATGATGTCCATTCTGACTGGTGTGAAGTGTTATCTCATTGTGGTTTTAATTTGCATCTCTCTGATAGATAGTGATACTGAGCATCTTTTCATGTGTTTCTGGATCCTCTGTATGTCCTCCTTGGACAAGTATCTGTTCAAGTCCTTTTCCGATTTTTTAATTGGGCTGCTTGTCTTCTTAGAGTGTAGTCGTGTAAGTTCTTTATATATTTTGGAGATTAAACCCTTGTCTGAGGTATCATTGGCAAATAATTTTTCCCATACAGTTGGTTGTCCTTTTATTTTAATACTGGTTTCTTTATCCATGCAGAAGCTTTTTATTTTGATGAGATCCCATTTGTTTATTCTTTCCTTTATGTCCCTTGCTCTAGGGGACATATCAGTAAAAATGTTGCTGCATGAAATATCCAAGGTTTTCCTCCCTATGTTCTCCTCTAGGACTTTAATGGTGTCATGGCTTATATTTGAATATTTTATTCACCTTGAATTTATTTTGGTGTATGGTGTAAGTTGGCGCTCCAGTTTCATTTTTATGCATGTAGCTGTCCAGTTCTCCCAACACCATTTGTTGAAGAGGCCATCTTTACTCCATTTTTTGTTTCTGCTTCCTTTGTCAAATACTAAGTGACCTTAGAGACTTGGGTTTATTTCTGGGCTCTCTGTTCTGTTCCACTGGTCCATGTGTCTGTTTTTATGTCAGTACCAAGTTGTTTTGATTACAGTGGCCTTGTAATACAGTTTGGAATCAGGTATTGTGATCTCTCCTACTTTGTTCTTCTTTCTCAGAATTGCAGCTGCTATTTGGGGTTGTTTATGGTTCCATATAAATTTTGTAGTGTTTGTTCTATGTCTGTGAAATATGCCATTGGTACTTTAATAGGTATTGCATTGAATCTGTAGATTTCTTTGGGTAGTATGGACATTTTGATAATGTTAAGTCTTCCAATCCATGAACACGCTATATGTTTCCATTTGTTTGGGTCTCCCTTAATTTCTTTCTTCAGTGTTGCATAGTTTACTGAGTAAAGATCTTTTACCTCTTTGGTTAGGTTTATTCCTAAGTACTTTATTTTTTTGTTGTTGTTATGTCAAATGGGATTTTTTCTGATTTCTATCTGTGATATTTCATTCTTGGTGTACAAAATGCTTTGATTTCTGGATATTGACATTGCATCCCACTGTAGTGCCAACCTCATTAGGTCGAGCAGTTTTTTTCGTCAAGTCTATAGGATTTTCTGTGTAGACTGTCATGTCATCTGCAAACAGTGACAGTTTTGTTTCCTCCTTTCCAATTTGAATGCCTTTCATTTCCTTTCTTGATTGATCACTGTGGCTAAAACTTCCCATACTATGTTGAATAGAAGTGGTGAAAGTGGACAACCTTGTCTTGTTCCTGATCTTAGTGAAAAAGATTTTACTTTTTGCCTATCGAGTATGATGTTGGCTGTAGGTCTCTCATATATGGCCTTTATTATGTTGAGGTATGCTCCCTCCATTCCCACTTTGCTGAGTGTTTTTATCATAAATGGTGCTGTACCTTATCGAATGCTTTTTCTGCATTTATTGATATGATTATGTACTTTTTGTCTTTGTTTTTGTTTATGTGATGTATTACATTTACTGATTTGCGAATGTTGAACCATCCTTGCACCCCTGGGCTGACTCCCACTTGGTTATGGTTTATGATCTTTTTAACATATTGTTAGATGCAGTTTGCCAATATTTTGTCGAGGATTTTAGCATCTATATTCATCAGCAATATTGGCCTGAAGTTTTCTTTCGTTGTTGTGTTCTTATTTGGCCTTCTATCTTATTTGAGAGCCTTGCTGGGTAAAATAACCTTGGTTGCAGGCCTCTGGTTCTCATTACTTGGGATATTTCTTGCCATTCTCTTCTGGTTTAGAGCATTTCCATTGAGAAGTGAGCTGTGCTAACCTTATCAGGGCTCCCTTGTATGTTACTTCCTGCTTCTTCCTTGCTGCCTTTGAGATTCTCTTTTTGTCTTGGAATTTTGCCATTTTAATTATGATTGTCTTGAAGTGAGCTTTTTAGGATTCCTCTTGATTGGGACTCCGTGTTTTCTGGATTTGTGTGACTTTCTCTCATTCAATTAGGGAAGCTTTCCATCATTACTTTTTCAAACAGGTTTTCTATTCCTTGCTCTTGGTCTTCTCCTTCTGGTATCCCTACTGTATGGATATTATTAGGTTTCATATTGTCTTGCATTTCTCTTAATCCCTCTTCATTCTTTCTGAGCCTCTTTCCCTTTTCTTGCTCTTTCTGGGTGGTTTTTTCTACTTTGTCCTCCAGCTCACTGACCCAATCTTCTGCTTCATTGATCCTGTTTTTGATTCCTTCTACTGTGTTCTTCAGTTCAGAAATTGTATTCTTCATTTCCTCTTGGCCCTTGTTGATAGCTTCTATTTCCTTTTTCATGTTGATAGAGTTTGCAGTGAGTTCATTGTAGTTTCCCTGTAGTTTCTGGTAATTCATTGTGAGCTCATTGAGCTTCCTGATTGCTTTGAACTCGATATCTGATAGTTGAATTGCCTCTATTTCATTTAGCATTCTTTCTGAGGCTTCCTCCTTTCCTTTCATTTAGGGGTTGTTTCTTTGCCTTCCCATTGTTTGTGAGACTCTTCTTGTTAGCTTCGTCTTCTTAAATTGATCTGTTCTGGCTCCCTGGGTTTATGGTGTGAAATTCTGTGGTAGAATACCTGTGAGATTCAGTGGTGCAGTTTCCTTGATCTCCCAAGCTCACCTGTCTTGGGCTGTCATTTAAGTTGGCTCTGTGTTTCTTTTTGGATTTTGATTTTCTTGGGTCTTTCTTTGGTGGTTCCTTCCCGCAAGCTGGTTAACTGAAGGTCACTGTGTCCACCACCTCTTGTATTTTGTTGTGCTGGTGAGGGCAGGTTGTGTTGAAGCTGGTTCTTCCATGTGTACAAGGTTTTGAGGATTCTCTCTTGCTCTTCTTTAGTTGTTTGTTCCGGGTAATTTCTCCACTGTTTAGTTGTATTTGCAGATAGGTTAGGGATTGAGGTTAGTGTGGCTTCCACTCCCTCCTTCACCTTCTTCTACTGTTACCTATCGGTGGTTCCTTTGTTGTTGGGTTTCCTCTTCAAGCTCATATCCCAGTGTTCACAGCTTCCACATACCCTTTTTTGTGATCCATTGGATTGCTCAGGCAAAATGGTTTATGACAGCAAGAGAGAACTCTATGCTATTTATAGTAGCAGTGGGTAGAGAAGCAATAGGAAATTCTTTGGCTATGTATAGTATTAACCATGATATTTTACCCAACTAGCCAGTTTTTTTAAAGAATGGAAGGAAGATAAGACTCTTGTTGGGGAGAGAAGGGTTGTGAGTTGGATCTAGAAAACAGTGAGGCTGTGGGAGGTCAGATTCTGAGGTAAGGTGAGAGTACAGAATAGTAAATAGGTGTAGTGTGTGAGAGAATAGAGTTAACCACTAAAGTAATAGAGTTCAGGAAACCACAAAGTGGGCTAAGATCTGGGAGGGGTGTTGTGCAGTACTTACAATAGTATGAATCAGCTAGTGTTTACAATAATATTAGAGCAGTAATCATATGGCAGAATCTATGAGATCTAGGTAACAAGAAGAGGGAGTATAGGACCTTGAGTAATGTGCTAATGAAACACAAGTGAAGCAAAGGACAGTAAATTAGCAATACACTATGAATGAGAGAACAGGGTAAACCTGTCAAACAATATGATATAACCAGCCAAGCAAAGGAGACTAAATAGAAATAAAAGGAATACAAAAATACTATTCAAATAAAAGATGTAAGAAATAATGAAAAATAATAATACAAATATGCAATAACTTGCAGGTTCTCTGTATTAGTAAAGTGAAAATTGTCTCACTGTCTCAGCTGTTGGGATGCCCCCTCTTTGGGTCCAACTCTGGTCTTTTCACAGTTCCAAGTTTTTTTGTTTGTTTTTTTTGTCTCACTTGTGGGTATTTTAAAAAGAAGCAGAAGAAGGAAGGAAGAAGAAATAAAATTGAAAAGAAGGAAGGAGAAAGAGGAAAAAGGAATTGATAGACAAATAAATAATATAAATTTTAAAATAAATTAGTTTTTAAAAAGCCTCTTGCTCATTTCAAACTGGACACACAGGTTTTTCTGGTCTTGCTGGCTGAAGCAGACTGAGGGGCTCTGCACTCGGTCAGCCTTGCTCCCCAGAGCTAGCCTGGTGCCCCTTTGCAGGGCCTTGGGTTAGGGATCCAGGCCTTCCTCAGAGTGCACTCTCCCTGGACTTACCACTGTGGCCCTATTTTCTGAAAGACCAAAAAGCGTTGGGAAAACTCCACACTGAGACTTGGTCCCCCTCCCACCTGTGACACCCTTTCCTGTCACCAGCACAGAGAAGCACCCAGACCAGACCAGAGCACAGACTCCTCACTCTGCTGGAGACCTGTCAGCATGACGCCTGCTGCCTTGCTCTGGGCAGCCCTGGTCTCTGCCTGTCTGGGTAAGGAAGGTGTAAGTCTTTGTTTACAATGCTTTCTACTGGGGCTTGGAAACAAGAAGACATTAACAGCACAGGACCTTCATGCCCCACAGAGCCCAGCTATGGGGAGCCTCAAAGCTGACAGGTTCTGCCTGAGCTTTGGGTCAGGAATAGAAATGCAGGTGGGAATGGGAACCAGCTGTGAGTCTGCCTGCTCTGTCTGTCTGGTGTCACACCCAGTGCAGTCAGTCCTTTCTGTCTTCCTTCCCACAGGATCCAGTGTGGCCCAGAAGGTCAATCAGTCTCAGGCAGAAGCATCCGTGCAAGAGGCAGAGACTATGACCCTGGCCTGCACATATGACACAAGCGACAGTGATTATTATTTGTTCTGGTACAAACAGCCTCCCAGTGGGGAGATGATTCTCATTATCCGCCAAGAAGCTTTTAAGAAACAAAATGCAACGAATAATCGCTTCTCTGCGAACTTCCAGAAAGAAAGCAAATACTTTGGCCTCAGGATCTCAGACTCCCAGCTGGAGGATGCAGCGATGTATTTCTGTGCTCTGTCAGAGGCACAGTGAGATGAGTGACAGGGGGAGGCGTACAGAAACCTCAGACCTCAGCACGGGTGTCAGAGGGGAGGGGAGAAGTGGTTGGGGAAACAGGAACATAGAAAATCATTGTCTTCTTCTGGGAATAAGAGCTCCTTCTGTCTGAATATAAGAAACAAAGGAAGATGAGTGTCGACAATCTGTAAACCTTTAAAAATAATGGCATGTGTAGTGTCTTCCAGTGTTATAAAACATCTTCATACATATTCCACATGTAAACCTTATACCTTTGTGTGGTGTATGTGACAGATTACACTTCCTAAGCCTTTTTTCAAAAAATCTTTATACTTTACCTGGGAGCTTATACTTCCAAGAACCCTATACCTTACCATTTTAAAATATATTTTATTGATTATGCCATTACAGTTGTCCATTTCCCCCCTCCTTCATTCTCCTCCACCCTGCACACCCCCTCCCACCCACCTTCCCCCCTTTTGTTCATGTCCATGTGTCATAAATTCTTTAGCTTCTGCATTTCCCACACTACTTGTGCCCCCCCCCATTTTCTTCCCACCATCTATGCTACTTATTCTCTGTACCTTCTCCCCACCTTTCCTCCTCCCACTCCCCTATTTCTAACCTTCCATGTGATCTCCATTTCTGTGGCTCCACTCCTGATCTAGCTGTCTGCTTTAGTTTGCTTTTGTTTTAGGTGTGGTTGTTAATAACTGTGAGTTTGATGTCCTTTCACTGTTCATATTTTTTATCTTCTTTTTCTTACATAAGTCACTTTAACATTTCATACAGTAAGGGTTTGGTGATGATGAACTCCTTGAACTTGACCTTATCTGAGAAGCACTTTATCTGCCCTTCCATTCTAAATGAAAGCTTTGCTGGATAAAGCAATCTTGGATATAGGTCTTTGTCTTTCATGACTTGGAATGTTTCTTTTCAGTCCCTTCTTACCTGTAAGGTCTCTTTTGAAGAATCAGCTGACAGTCTGATGGAAATTCCTTTGTAGGTGACTGTCCCCTTATCTCTTGCTGCTTGTAGAATCCTCTCCTTCATTTTAATCTTGGCTAATATAATAATAATGTGCCTTGGTGTGTTCCTTCTTGGGTATTCTACTTGGTGTCCACCTTCTTTGGGACTCTCTGAGCTTCCTGGATTTCCCGGAAGTCTATTTCCCTTGCCAGATTGGGGAAGTTCTCCTTTATTATTTGTTCACATAACTTTTCCACTTGTGGCTATTCCTCTTCCCCTCCTGGTACCCCTATAATTCAGATGTTGGAACATTTAAATATGTCCTGGAGGTTCCTAAGCCTCTCCTCATTTTTGAAATTCTGATTTCTTCATTCTTTTCTGTTTGGTTGTTTCTTTTTTCCTTCTGGTCCACTCCATTGATTTGAGTCCCAGTTTTTTTTTCCCATCACTATTGGATCCCTGTGCATTTTGCTTCATTTCACTTAGTGTAGCCTTCATTTTTTCATCTAATTTGAGACCAAAATCAACCAGTTCTGTGAGCATCCTGATCGCCAGTATTTTGAACTATGCATCTAATAGGTTGCCTGTCTCTTGGTCATTTAAACGTATTGGCTCTGGGGCTTTGATTTGTTCTGCTGATTGAGCTATTTTTGGTATGTTCGCACCTGTTACATATGAGGGGTAGAGCCTTAGGTGTTCACCAGGGCAGGTCAACCCAGTGGCTGGGTTGTGACGCTGTATGTGGGGGGATGGGTCAGAGAGGTAGAAATGGCATTTGTTCTGCTCTCTCTCAGATTTCAGTCTTCTCTGCCACTTCCCACAGACAAATTGGGCCCTTCTGGTGCTGGTTCCCAAGTGGGTGGGCTTGTGTACATTCTAGAACCCTGTGGGTCTCTCCAACGAACTCTTCTGTGAAGCTGGGAGTCTCACCCAGCACCTCAGCCCCAACCCCTGCAAGTTTTTCCAATCAATGCTTTTAGGCTTTATTTCCCAGCGCTGGGGCCCTGGGTTGCGCAGTCTGTCTCACTGCCCATTTTTTGCCTGGTTTATCTGCACGCAAATGTGTGTCCGCAGTCAGCCAACCACCTTGTGCACCTTACTGGGTTTGCTGGTTTCCTCCCCACGCCCCAGTTGCCAACCTTTTCTTGCCAAGACCCCCTCTCCACTGGCTGCCAACTCCACCCCTCTTACTGGTCTGGATGAATGGTTTGTTGTCGAATTTTGGTACAGTTCAATTTTCTGTCTGTTCTGGTTGTGTTTTTGTTTCTAAATCTTTATTGTCCTTAAATTTTGTTGTGCGAGGAGATACAGTATTTCCACCTACACCTCCATCTTGGCCGGAAGCCCTATACTTTACCATTTTGATAACTGAAGCTTTTGTCAAAAATATATTCTCAATTTTATTCTCCCATCCATGTCCCAGACTGAATCTCCACAGAACAAAGGACCCATGTTTCAATACAACATGTGTGTCAGTGGAGACATAACTAGGAAAGGATCTACTTACTGGTCCAACCTCGAACCTAAAAAATGACCTATGCCCTGGTACCTTGGACAGATGATCTAGTAGAAATGATGGAATGTCCTGTTAAAGGCTCAGCTAAGAAGACACTCAGGGGCAACTCTCTTAGTGATTTGAATGTTATTCTGCAGAAAGCTGTCATAATTATTAAGTTAATGGCTGATATATAGGTACTTCTATCGTCTAACCTAAATTATACAAGTTTAGAAACTAACAAATGAATGTGGACTAGACTCTTCTGATGTCAGTCCCATAACCTATTTAAGAATTTGTCATTTCTTTTCCACAACTTAGCATCTGTTGCACTAGAGGTCTAGTTCCCAGAGGATGAAGGCTTTCACCAGAGGTTCAGTAAGGATTCCAGCAAAACTATGGCCATGACCTAGGTATCTTTGAACTTGTGCCAATGGTCCAACAAGAAAAAAAGGAGGTATTATACTTGGAGGGGTAACTGACCCAAATTGTCATGAAGCACCAGGTTGTTGTCACCCAAGGAGGGTGAGGAGGAATATGTCTGTAATTTTAGTGATTCATATTAGGTATTTCCCTTCCCCATAGAAACAGCTGTTGCTGCAAAACCTGAAAAGGGCAAAGTGATCAAGAACTGCGACCCTTCACTGATGAAGAGTCTGGGGCACCCCATCAACCAAGCAAGCTACCTCTGCTAAAGTGCTATCGAAGGAAATCTGGAGAGTGTGGAGGAAGAGGGGGAAGATGGCTACCAATTACAGCCTTGGTACCTGTTAAAGTGGGGCCCGAATCTCGTGTCCTGCAACCCTCCCATTTTAAGTGTTTTAAATAAATTGCAGCCAGCCACAACCTTGAAGACTCAGTGACACAGTGAAAAAATACATAGGGCAAGCATGCATTTCAGTAGTGTAAGAGCACTTCTGATTCAATGTCCCATCCAAACACCTAGCTCTAATTTTATCAATAGCTGCAGTAGACAATTCTGTGGACTCTCAGACTCATTCCAGAGATCATCCTACATGATCATGAGATCATGCAGCATACATTGTAATGTGTACTTTCTAAAGTAATGGTCTTTAGACCATTGGTCTTCTCTGACTCCTCAGATGTTCACTCAGCCTACAAGGACAGGGCAATTACCAGCCCTGCTGGCCAGCACTAAGCAGTGATGAAAGAGGACTGGTAAATGCTCTAGCTTCTTGAGTTCCAGCTGACAATCCTGAAAGGGACTCTACATCCATCTTGGGAGATCCTGGCAGAATCTAGCCTTAATGTTGCACTACATAATTTCTTCTTCTCTCTTCTATACCCTTTTTGGGAGATCCTAGCGTATCAACCCCCAGTCTTTCCCTATGCATTTTCTGACTCTTGCTCCCTAAGATCTATTCCTATATAAATTAACTTCACCTGAGTCCTTGCTTCAGGGTCTATTTTGAGGAAAAACAAAATTAAAATATAGGTTCTTTAAAAACTGAATAGAAAAATAGCAAAAGAGTTCAAGGTGAACCTTGTGGATTACTAATAAGAACAGATGGGTGCTTGAGTAATTCACTGGTAAAATTGAATGTGTCACCTTATCTTTCAAAATAATGGTGAGATAGAACACATTTACAGAACTGCAATCTCTGTAGATGTGTGGGCATATCTTTTGACTACACAAAAACTTTACTTAACAAATCTAAATGTTCTGCATCTGCTCAACCTCTACCATTTTAAAGTGCATTCTTCCTTCTCCCCAAAATGTGCCTTTATTCCAGTCAGTCTGTTCTTCTTCCTGACTCATACACACTTCAAGCCCTTGAATTCCTTTTCAGGGTATTCTACTCACTCAAATTTCCCTTTTATGTGCATTTCAGACTGGTCAAATCATAAACATTTTAAAGCTCTAGCTTGTCCAAGGCTTCTTTTCTAGAAGAGAATCCTTGAATTCTTTCTGTTCTAACGTCATGCAGTACTGAATCTGACCCCAACAATCTGATTCTTAGTGACTCCCCTTCCTGAAGGGTTTGCTGTTGTTTCAAGTTACCAAACTTTCCTCCCCAAATACATTACAGACTCCGTAAGGACAGAACTTTGCCTTGTATACTTCAGCATTTCTCAATGCTCTTGGCACAGGGTTAGGCACATAATAAGAACTCAGTAAAGCCCAGGTTTTGCTTAAAGTTTATTTTATAGTCATCATGTATTCATGAGATAATGCTAAGAGAAAAAAATTTATGTTCCAACAGAGTCACAGGAGATGTTTTTGAGAAGGTGAGCCATTATAAAAGTTTGAATTCTGAAAGCAGTGATAAAGGGAAGAGTAGAGTGTATTTAAATAATCAGGACTTCTGCCAAGATGGAGAAGTAGGTGGAGGTTCCACCTCACCTCTGTGCACAACCAAATCTAAGAACAACTATTTTTAACAGCAGTCACAACCAAGCCATACGGAAAATCGACAATACGGAGTCCAAAGGACAACTAGATACTCGGCTGGACCGGTACGAGGAGCGAGGCCAGCAGCAGAGCAGGTTAGCAAGAAAAAATTCCCGGGGTGGTGCGCAGTGCGTGCAGGCAACCGAGGGCGCTGATCGCCAGTGAGCTGGCTGCC